TTAATTCATATCATATGGTCCTTTAAAGACAGTTTGGTATACTTTCTTTGTTGCTGATTGAATAGCTGAATAATCCACTCCTTGAGTATGTGAGTTGAGATAAGATTGATCATCCCATTTAATATCAAAAATCGAGAATGCTGGTGCATGTAATCCATCTACAACATAATTCTCATTATACTTTTCTAATACCTTAAATGGAATGAAATCATACCCACATTCTTCAGAATTTGTTGTTGCTTCTTCATCTGATTTAGTGTAAGAAGCCTTGAAAATATCTTCAAGCATTTCAGGGCAAGTAGGCTGAATAGTAATTGTTTGTTTATCTGTCATATCTCTCTTAAATGAAAGTAACTTGATTGTAAACATATTGATTCCATTAATTGGGGTAATATCAAGTGTACCATATGATTTGTAAGGTCCAAAAGAGTGTTTCTTTGATTTTATAAAGTATATTCTAGATGTATCGCATTTAAAGATTCCTTGATATTTATCATCTTTACTACCATCACAAGTTAATGGGGTTATGGTTGCGTTAATATATTTCTTAACACCTCTTTTTATGTATTGACTACAACATTCAGCATATGAATGTTTATTAATACAATCCTCATCTAATGGAGTCCATTGTTCAAATGAACGTACATTAGGACATATTTGCATTTCTTCTTTAATAGAATGTTGTTGAAGCCAATATTTTAATGAATGACCATGTTGGTATCCAAAACTATTTTTAACAATATATCCACCATCAAAGAAATTATGTAAATCATTTCCCCAACTTCTATCTATTCTTTTTTCAACATTCCATCCAACTACTAACACACTATGTTTTTTATTATAATGTAAATCACCTAAATAATCATAAACACCTGATTGTGAATATGGATTAAAAGTAAGTACAACACAATCCCCTCCTAAAGATGATGGACATGGTACTTTTGGTAAATTATCTGGACATACATATCCAAATGAATTAGAACATGGTATTGAATATCTTCTTTTAAATGTACCAAAAGACAATGTCAAAGGTAATCCTGAATCTTTCATTAATTTTGTAACATTTGATTTTGTATAAACAGAATGAATTCCAGTAATATCAAATTTAATTGGATTTTTACTAAGATCAGAGACATATCCTCTAGGGGATATTCCTTTAACTAATTCATTACCAAAGAATTTATATAAATAATATAATAATTCTGGTGATCCATTATTTTCAACAACATCACAATATTTATTATTCTTTTCTTGACAAAGTCTTTTTAATGTAGTATAAAAAATTTCTTCATCAAACCTTACATATTCATCACTTTCTAAATATCCTTTTTCAAGTCCATTCTTTCGATATGATGCTTCACAAAATGCAACTGCTGAATAAACCCATGATGGAATATCTTTAATTTGATTTTCAACACCAGTCATAGTATTATAATATGACATATACTTCTTTGTAGAATTTAAAAACCTTTCTTTTTCTACAAAAACATTATCAATTTCATTTCCTAATAAACATGCTGAAGTAATTGTGACAACTAATATAAATAAATTTAATACAATTAATCCACTCCATAAAATCCAAAATGGAATAACTGCTTTTTTCGTTGGTTGTTCCATTAATAAAAAGAAGTAAAGTGATGAACTTATTTTCCTTTTAGTTCTTTAGCTTCTATTAAACCTTAAAATTTTAAAAACTTCTAATTCTTTTATAGTTTTTTCTATTTCTTTCTTTTTATTTCTTTATTATTCTTTTTGTTATTCTTTTATTAAAACTTATAAATTAGATGAATTGAATTAGATTTTATTCATGTATCTTCTACTTTTAACACTTGAAATAAATCTATTGTTATGAATATATCATTTAGAGTGTTGTTTGGTATATTCATTTTGTAACATATTAATTGTTTTTCCTTGTTCTAATACTGTATTTTTTAATTCACTTATTTGTTTCTTAAGTTCTTCAATTCTTGTCTCAATTGTTTCTTCTGTTTCAATTAAATAATATTGTTGAAGCTTAAAATCTAAATCTTTTTCATCTACTTGAACTCTTTTTTGTTTTCTTCTAAACATTGTTTTAATTTCATCTTCTTTTTTCTCTTCTTTTTCTTCTTCACTTTTTATTTCATTTTTATTATCTCCTTTTGTTTCTTGATTAATTTCTGCTAGTTTCTTCTTAACATACTCTTTAAATACTGAACGTTTTATTAAATCAAATGGCTCTGCTCCATTAAAATTTTGTTTTATTACATCAATTTCTCCTTGAATATTTGGGAAAATATATTCAAAATTTTCTATAAGCATAGTGAGTATTGTACCCTTCATTGACTTTAACTCAACTGGTGGACTATACACACTACCATAAAGTGTTAATAACTCCTCTAATATGTCATAATTTAATTCATACATTTTGTTAAAGTAATGAAATAATAATATTACGACTATTCTACATGGAGATCTTAACCCTTCAAATGTTTTTTGTAGTACCTCTACTTGATT